CTCTCCCTCTCTCTCGCCAGTTCCACGCAATGGATACCCTGCAGCGTAACGGCTACGACCTGGCCAAGGCGATGTCCACTTTGGTGCCCCAGGGTGGGCCCGTGCTATGCCGGGACGAGATGGAGGAGTGGTCGGCCTCGGAAGCCATGCTGTTTGAGGAGGCCCTGGAGAAATACGGCAAGGACTTCAACGACATTCGGCAGGACTTTGTGAGTCGGGTTGTGGCTTGGGGGCTCCTGGTTTGCAAAAGGGGGCCGTCTTTCGTCCACCGCTCAGCCCTACTAAGCCATTTAGTAAGTTAAATCGTTTAAAAATGCCACTATATACATAGGACTAGATCACAAACGCGCTGTGTGATTCAAGACAATGATTGCCTTGGAAAAGAAACTTGTTTCTCAGCCTGTTAGTCCTCATTTTGAGACACCAGGTGCTTCCACAACGCCGCTTTCTTGAGCCTGGGAAAATGGGGGGAGGGGAGTTTCTCCAAGTTTGAAGAGGGCAGATGGAATGTTAACTGGAGGAGCCCCAGCCCTTCCCCCAAATTACAGAACTGACCAGATTATTAAACGGGGAGGCACCATGAACTTAATACGACTGGAGTGTATGCGAGTGTATTCGTTGGAGTGGAGGTTTTCTGGAAGGCGGACTCACTTTATGACCGTGCCGGCCAGGCCTGCATGATGGTCATGACTCGAGGAGTTCCCGTATGATTCGTAGCTGGATCTCAAACCTTGAAAAAGCCAGGATTTCCAGGGTGGTCATCCCAGCCCCTCATCCCCGATCATCAACACGGTGGGGGCAGGGCCTCCTCTTTGACCCCCTCCCTTCTTTCCTTCAGCTCCCTTGGAAGTCCCTGGCCAGCATCGTCCAGTTCTACTACATGTGGAAAACCACAGACCGATACATCCAGCAGGTGAGGAAGGCTCTGCCTCCTCCTCCTCCTTGGGGAGTGGGAGATTCCATTCCTGGAAAAAAGGGGGAGGGGGAAGAGATAAAAACTTTCCAGAGGCCCCCTTTTTTTGGGGGGGGGGGGACGCTGTTCCGCTGACCTCTCTCTCCCATTTCCCGTGCAGAAAAGGTTAAAAGCGGCGGAAGCCGACAGCAAATTGAAGCAAGTGTACATCCCAACCTAGTGAGTATTCCGGCCGTCCCATCTCAGGGTCTGAGGAGGGCGGGTGTCCGATTTTTCTCTAGCAAGACTGCATCGGGGGGCAGAGACAAGTCCCCCCCACCCTCCAACAAGACCCAGAAAAAATAGGAGCGATGGGTGGTTTTGTGTATCAGATGGAGACTCTTGTATATTCCAGGGTTTGGGGTTCAAACTCTTTTCTGCCCAGGGTTAGAAGCCCTTCTGTAATTATCCAGACACGGGGTGGATTCAAGCCGTTCCCTTGTTTTGATCCCAGCCAAATCTGGGATCAATAGAAGAGTGTATTTGTAACTCGGGGTTGAACCGAGGGGGTCCTTGTGCTCTCTTTGAGCTGGGCGGTTTTCTTGCAGACGCTTCATAACCAAACTAGGTAACATCATCAGTGCTAGAGGGGGAAGGGGGTTTGTGGAGTAGGGGAGGAGGAGGAGGACTATGGAGTCCTTTGGTGCTCTTTGAGTTGGTGGTTTTCTTGCAGACCTTTCATGACCAAACTAGGTAACCACATCAGTATTGGGAGGGAGGGGTGTTTGTAGAGAGGAGGTCCTGGATGCTTTCTGAGCTTGCAGACGTTTCATTACCACCCTAGACCACCTTATCAGTGCCAGAAGGGAATGAGGTTTTGTGGAGGGGAGAAGGAGGACTGTGGGGTTGATGTTCTCTAAGCTTGGTGGTTTTCTTGCAGACGTTTTGTTACCAAACTACTTTACCTCATCAGTGCTGGAAAGGAATGAGGATCGTGCGGTGGGAGGCAGGAGGAGGAGGAGGACTGTGGGGTCCTTGGTGCTCTCTGAGCTGTGCTGTTTTCTTGCAGACGTTTCATGACCCAACTAGGGAACATCATCAGTGCTAATAGGGAATTGGGCTTGTGAAGAGGAGGAAGAGAAGGAGGGGAGAAAGATGATGGGGTCCAGGTTACTCTGAGTTTGGTAGTTTCCTTGCAGACGTTTCATGACCCAACTAGGGAACGTCCTCAGTGCTAGAAGAGAATCGGGTTGGTGGGGGGGGGGGGGAGGAGGAAGACTGTGGAGTCCAGATTACTCTCTGAATTTGGCGGTTTTCTTGCAGACGTTTCATGACCCAACTAGGGAATGTGCTAGATGGGAGTGAGGTTTGCCCTCGTTATCTTTCAGCACTGACAACGTCACCTAGTTGGGTCAGGAAACGCCTGCAAGAAAACCGCCAAGCAAACCCCCCCCCCCCCCCTAGAATCAGGCTAAGCTGTGGGCTTTGGGCCTGGGAAAATAAAACCTAGCCGAGTCGCCTCACCCCCCCTGAGCCATTCTTGCTCTCTCTCTCCTTCCCCAGTACGAAACCGAATCCGAACCAAATCATCTCAGTGGGCTCCAAGCCCGGAATGAACGGCGCCGGCTTCCAGAAAGGTCTCACCTGCGAGAGTTGCCACAGTAAGTCTCCGCCGAGAAATCGGAGCCTCCGGTTGGATGCGGGACCCAGATCGTCTCTCCCTTTGCTCCGGGCGCCTGGGGAAATCGTCGGAGAGGGCTGAGCCCCTGCAGCAGGCGGAAAGGAGGAGGAGGGGGTGGGAGATGTCGATGGGGGTCCTCATTTGTCCCCTCTCTCGCCCCACAGCCACCCAGTCTGCCCAGTGGTACGCCTGGGGCCCCCCTAATATGCAGTGCCGGCTCTGCGCCTCGTGCTGGATCTACTGGAAGAAATACGGGGGCCTGAAGACGCCGACGCAGCTCGAGGGAGCTGCCCGTAGCATCACAGTAAGAGAAACAGAAAACACACACACACACACACACACACAGAGAGAGATACCCTTCTGGCTTTGTGTTAGGGGTTGGGAGCTGGCTTGGGACATGCGATTCGGTTGGATGCTGGTTGTCCAATTGGGGACGCGACAGGAATTATTAGTCTGCTTAATAGGAAAGGCGTCTTTTGTGTAACGTTCCCGATTATTTTTATACAAAAATTGTCCAGCGGTGACTAACACAC